ATTTATTCTTATAAACTCTTATATCATGCTGATTTATTTGTTTTTTTTTTTTAAATTATAAAGAGTTTGGTGTTCCATGCATTATAAGATCTTTAAGTTTTTGCTTCCAAACTAGACCATAAAGCAACCTAGGGTCATGAAACCCTCTTCAGTGGTTGGTTCGGTTCAGGAGTTTGTGCGTGCTCGGWTCTCGGTGCTTCCTGTAATCTGATTGGCCTGTGGATCTGAATAGATTAATACTCCTCGTGTTGCATTTTACTTCCCCTGCCTTAAYTTTGGAAAATCCAACCCGATGTGTTTTCATTTCTCTCCAGGCTCCTTCCTGTCTTCTACTSCTCATGCCCAGGTTTGGAAGGGACTTTAAAATGTTTGACGCCATCTTGCCCAGCCTCACTCTGGACATCACAGACCTCCTGGATGACAGTAAGATATGTTTTTTGTTTGTTTGTTTGTTTGTTTGTTTCCTTTTTTATTGAATCTGATTCCATTTCTTTCGTTCATTGTGTTTTGTGTGTGCAGCTCTGAGACAGTGCAGCATCTGTCAGTCTGTAGCTGAGTGGGAGTGTGTTCARTGTTACGAAGACATGGACATCACTCCAGGACACCTTAAACAGTACTGCCAGACCTGCAACACACAGGTATTGTCCACCACTGAAAGGCAAAAGACCACTAATATTGTTGTGTGCGTGATTGTTTGTCTTTTAACACAATATCTCATGAACCAGTGGACTAAGTTTAATGAAACTTAGCCCAATAATTATCTCGTGGGCACGCGTTAATTATCTTGTAAGCAAGAGTTAATTATCTTGTAAGCAAGCGTTAATTATCTCGTGCGCACGCGTTAATTATCACGTGGGCATGCGTAATTATCACGTGATCAAGCGTTAATTATCTCGTGGGCACGTGTTAATTATCTCGTAAGCAAGCGTTAATTATCTCGTAAGCAAGCTTTAATTATCTTGTGGGCATGCGTTTATCTTGTAAGCAAGGGTTAATTATCTCGTGCGCACGCGTTAATTATCACGTGGGCACGCGTAATTATCTCGTGATCAAGCGTTAGTTATCTCGTGGGCACGTGTTAATTATCTCGTAAGCAAGCGTTAATTATCTCATGCGCACGCGTTTATTACGTGGGCACGCATTAATTATCATGTGGGCACGCTTAATTATCTCGTGGGCACGCTTAATTATCTTGTAGGCATGCGTAATTATCTCGTGGGCACGCGTAATTATCACGTGGGCACGCTTAATTATCTCGTAGGCATGCATAATTATCACGTGGGCACGCTTAATTATCTTGTGGGCACGCATTAATTATCTCATGGGCACGCATTAATTATCTCGTAAGCAAGCGTTAATTATCTCGTGCGCACTCATCAATTATCATGTGCGCACGCATTAAATATCTCGTGGGCACGCGTAAATTATCTCGTAAGCAAGCATTAATTATCTCATGCGCACGCGTTTATTACGTGGGCACGCATTAATTATCACGTGGGCAAGCGTAATTATCTCGTGGGCACGCTTAATTATCTCGTAGGCATGCGTAATTATCTCGTGGGCACGCGTAATTATCATGTGGGCACGCTTAATTATCTTGTAAGCAAGCGTTAATTATCTCGTAAGCAAGCGTTAATTATCTCGTAAGCAAGCGTTAATTATCTCGTAAGCAAGCGTTAATTATCTTGTAAGCAAGCGTTAATTATCTCGTAAGCAAGCGTTAATTATCTTGTAAGCAAGCGTTAATTATCTCGTGCACACTCATTAATTATCTCGTGCGCACGCATTAATTATCTCGTGGGCACGCGTAAATTATCTCGTAAGCAAGCGTAAATTATCTCGTAAGCAAGCGTTAATTATCTTGTAAGCAAGCGTTAATTATCTCGTAAGCAAGCGTTAATTATCTTGTAAGCAAGCGTTAATTATCTCGTGCACACTCATTAATTATCTCGTGCGCACGCATTAATTATCTCGTGGGCACGCGTAAATTATCTCGTAAGCAAGCGTTAATTATCT